TCGCCTAATTTCTGCATCTTTTGTTGAAAGTAGTCCTTGCACGAATATCAAGCATTCGAAATTATTCGCTCTTAGCTCCGCCAATAATCGCAGTGGTTGTTTATTACTGAAAGCAAAAGTGGTGTAATCTTCCCGTTCTTTCCTAGTTAGATTAAGACATTTCCATCTCTTATGGGAAAGAGATGTCTTTGGACTGAAAAGCTCCATGAGTAATTTCACTGCTTCGGTGAATGTCAACTCGCTAGATCTCCTGGGCAGAATGTAGTTTACGAATTTTGTGTGTTCCTTAGGAGACGTACTTTTTTTCGAGTCACTCCAATTTACACAATCTGTAGTATATAAATCGTCATATCTCCTAAAGTATGACGCAAATGTTATTTATTCCTCGGGAGTGTATGAAAAATTCTCTTTCGCGCTTCAAATGGTGTTTTTGCGAAAAAGAAAATTTGTTTTCGATGGAATTACTTGTCTGTTCTAAAACTTGCTTTTGAAATTTGAGCTGTTTCTCTTCATTTTCCTTCTGGGTTTGCAGAAATAAATTTTCCATTTTTTACTTCTATTCCATTCTTTATTCGAGCTGTAATTGCTGTGCATTCTGGTACTTTACAAGATCTAATAAAATACTTTTGAAATCCTCCATGATAAGTGTGTCTTTTTTTTTTCCAATTTTTACTTTTTTTTTTTTCCAAATACTTTTCAAATGAAAAAACTTTAAAAATAAAAATTTCTCGTACATCCACTGTGAAAACAAAATGGCAATTACAAGTATTGTTTTTTTTTTTAACGAAAACTGTTTTGTCTGTGTTTTAGGAGAGTTCCTTTTTAGTCCTGGTGGTCGTCGCAAATCCTCGTCGACAAGTTATTGTGGCCTGTTAGTGACCAGAAAGAAAGACACGGGAAGATGAAGGTAGGTTCAACAAGTGTATTGAAATAACAGAACATATATACAAAATAAGTGTTATTAGTCAGCAGATAGAAGTGTCCGTTCGAACTTTCAGGTTACACTGTGTCCCGACTGCCCATATTTAACAAGAATGTATGTAACACAAGGCCAAGTTTAACGTGTGTTTCTCTGAGTCCGTAGGCTCGGCCAAAAATATTCCCTTTGAACCCGCATAAGCAGGTTCGGGATCTGTCTACCTCCCCAGACGAAACTTTGCTCTTCGGCAAAGCTTCGTCCGGGATCCTCTCTGCAAAAGCAGAGAGTTCGACAGAAGTCGCACACACTCAGAGAGTGCGTCTCGACTGCCTACCTTAGGAAGTCTCGCAGGTTAGTATTTAGGAAGGAGGAAAAGTTCACATTAATGTAGATAGATCAGCATAACAGATCTCGCTGTCTTTTCCGATATCTGATGTTGTTTATAAAAACAGAGATAAAAACATCCAAGTATAACCTTAAACCAAACATGTACAAAAGAAATTTGCTACCGAAATACATTTTACTTAAACTATATGACGCTTCAGCAAACAAGGGCACAACAAAGATTTTCTCTTATAGAAAAAGAGATGAACTTATTCAGTTCAATGTTCTCATTATTAAAATTTCTCATCAGCTAAATGTAAAACGGATATACGCATTTTAACGTGGTCATTTAGACCTACTGAATTTCATTTCCAGCATCAAGAAAAATTATTATTAAGGAGAGAGAACAATAAAAGAACAATAATTAAGAAGACAGAAGATAACGATTGGCATTGCATTTTCATTTTTGATGATCAAATTTGATTTAGAGCCGGAAAAGGGTTCCTCAATACAGAACTGAGAGAAAGAAAAAAAAAACTTGAAATGTCAATAAATTATCCAAACAAAGTTTTTTTATTAATTTCTTCACTCATTAAGCCCGAAAAAGAAAAGTCTTGTTCACATAAAAGAAACATATGATAAAAAATCTAATGAGAGTGTTATGGGTGTCCTCCCCTTTTTCATATAAGTGGACTCGACCAAAGTGTTACTTGGACTGCTGCCGTTAAATACCCAGAGTCAGTCAGAATAAATAGAGAGATTGAGAGAGTGAGCAGAGATTGTGATTGTGATGGAGTTGGAGGTAGAGTAATAGTGTGAGGTAACCGCTTGTAGAAGCCAGTTACAAACACGTAGACTCTAAGGAAGTCCGACTTCGAGACAGTATATATCTATATGTTATTGCTACTAACCGCGTTCCTGGATTTACTAATAGTATTACCCTTTGTATTATTGTGTAAATACATTTAATTTCTTATCTTTAATTCCTGCGTTTGTAATCCATTGGAAACCGAATTTCATCTCGGAATCCACAACAGATAGTAATACGTCTGTCTAGTTTAACTAGACATGTATTAAAAAGAAATTGCTGCATAAATACACATCGAAATATATGCTGATTTTCTAAGCAAAGCCCTAAACAATGGAAGCACCCATTGGGGATCGAACTCACTACTCAGTCGTAATTGATCTAGCCAGTCAAGTTTGTTAACCTTTATACCAAATCAAAGTGCCCGTCAAATAATTTTCTAATCGTTG